TAGGTTTAGGGGATAGAAAATATTGTTTGGTCAGTATAAAAGTAAGTCTATGGAAAGTCCCACAATTCACAGAAACAAACGTGTGTGTGTGTGTCGGAGGCGCTTCATTAGCAGCGCGGCAGGTCGTGGGAAGACCTGAGATCTTTGACAGGGACACACTGTGAGATTCTCACCGCTCCCACTGACCGTCTTCACACTCGCACCGTCATCGTGAAACATAGCACTGAATATTCAGCTGTGAACACACACTCATTCAGCAGACAGATGAAGGAGAACACGAGGCCTCGGGCGGGACGATCATCAGATAACATACATGCACACTGATTCACGCCAACGTTATGAAGCAGCTCTGAATTAGCTAACCAGGAAAAGTTTTGAGTGATGATTGAGCTTTCCCTGCTTTTGTTCAAATGTTTTGTTGCGTATGTTTATTAGAGTGGTATATAATATAACTCGGTCCTTAATTTAAAATTATAATTTGATCAAAATTATAAAATATACCTATAATAAATTATGAAATAAGAAATGACACCAAAAACTATAATAAAATGATTTAAATGTTAATAACATTTCCAAATATCTATATTTAAACGGCTTTTGTTGAGGTTTCATTGCTTTTATTAAAATTGTATATTTTCTCAACTACAATCCAGTCCATTTCTCAATAGAAAATGATCATGTAGTTTTAAAAATTATAATAAAACTCCTATAATAATAAATGAATTATATTTTGTAATAAAATGGCAAGTATCTGTCTTTACTTTCGTTTGAGGTTTCACTGCTTTTGTTCACATATAATATTTGCTAAAGGTCCTTTTTAATATAAAATTATCGATTTTTCTTAAATATAATAAATATTCCTATGACAAATTATGTAAGAAATGGCAAAATACAATGATTTAAATATTTTTTATAATAAAATAGCCAAGAATATTTCAGTTTCAGTTTTATTTCAGCAGAACTTGACCTACTGTTTCTTGTAATTGATGGTTGTGGCGCCACCTCGTGTCCAAACTCAGAAACACAATACACAAACTAAATAAAGACATTCACATCACACCAACATAAAACAACATCACATCTTTAATGCAACAGTGCAAACCAGAGTACAGTGCTTTCTTCACGTGTAGAGGTTGCTCTGAAGCTCGCTGCCGCGCGTGATCTTCTGCAGCACGTCTGTGCTGGGACTCGGATCCAGCTGGAATCAAGAGAGACAGAGACTGAGTCCCGCGAGACGAGAAGCAGAGAAGCTCAGAGAAGCTCACACTCACCTTCAGCACTGCGCTCACCGCCGCTCTGTACGTCTGCATGCTGAGAGAGTCCGGCTGCAGAACATCACTGTAGCACTGATAGAGAACAGCCGCGATCCGCTGAACCTGACAGTGACTGAGCACTACACACACACACAGACATAGACACACACACAGACACACAGACATAGACATAGACACACAGACACACACACACACAGACAGACACACACACACATAGACACACACAGACAGACACACACAGACACACACACACACACACA